TCCCCCTTGCATTTTAGTTAAGAGGCACCATCTCCGTAAGTTTTTAAGGCGTGCCACTTCATGTGGACCTCAACCATGCCTATACTCACCACTTTGGCAATGGGCTAGTAAATGAGATATGCCCAGGTAGTGCTTCCTGAAGGGCTATTATGAACTCAGTGACACTCATATTCCAGAGTGAAATATTACTAAGCATCCTTCCTTGTAAAATAAAGATTTTTAATTTTTGTGTAATATTTTTCTGGTGATATAAACTCTTACTCACAAAACTTCTCTGCTGACAATAACCACATCAGGACTGTTACATGAGACAATACCCAAAATCAGAACTTTAGAATATGTATCTCTCTTAATGTACACAGTTACAATGTATACCTAAAATTATTTTTAAATAACTGTATTTGTTTAAAAGTAGAGGAGGCTGTTTTACTATTTAAAGCAACCCCCAAAATACTGATGCTTTCCAGCCAGGGTAAGATCTGAAACTTCATCCCATGTAGCTAATAAAAGAAGGACAGTTAGCAAGACTGCAAGCAGACCGTCTTCCCACTGAAAGGTGCAGTTCTACATGAGTCAAAACCTCCCAGGTAGGTTTCAGCAAAATTTTTCCACCATGAAAGTCTAAACCAAACATTTTATTTCCTAACAGGTGTCAGCCCAGGATCCACCTACACCACAGTAAAGATGCATCCCAGCACTATTTCTCCTAGGCTCTGCTCCCAAGCCACCATGATGTACCACAATGCCTCAGCCACAAAAAAGGACCAAGGCACTCATTTATCTACCCTGTAAACTCTACCTTACAATTTTGTGCAATACAAATACCCACAAAACAGATGTCCTCAAGGACAGTCTCACTCAACTTGCTAGTTGTAGCAAATCCAGCCGCTGCTCACCCAGGCACCGAAGGTGCCACAAATCCCGTTACCTGAGCTGAAGAGATGACAGATGCCAGCCTACACAGCTGCTCCTACTCCGCTGAGCTGCTCTTGGGAGCATAACTCATCTGGTTTCACTGAAAATAAACCAGGCTAGCACAGATCTTTCAGTTGAACTGCACAAGTCTAACAGGTTTTGACTTACCATAGCCTGCTGATGTCTCTGTCAGAAACCTGCGGGGAATTTTAGGCTATAGGTATCTAATCAATACTAACATGAACAAGTCCCCCAAACCGTACGAGTTATGCTGGGGTAGTGATCAGTTATCCCAGCCACAGCACAGGCCTCCAAGGCACTTGGTATCTCCAGTTATGCAAAACACATGAGATTTTAACAGAAAGTTGGCCAACTCCTAGACATTGTTACGCTGTTAAAAAACGAGACTTACATCTAGCTTGGGCCTGGGAGGAATAAAACACTATGTCAGTGATGTACATGTCATTCATTCAGTTATTAAAGAGGAATTCATTACCTAATGTCAGTGGCTTTGACACTTCTAAGGCCAAGCCTGGACCTGCTGCCATGCCACACCCCACAAAAGGCAGTGACTGCTCTCGTACATGGGTGAGGGGAGAACACTATCGCAGTATCTTCCCCATATTCTAATCTAAATTTAAAAACAAAACAAAACAAAAAAAACTCATTGATAGAAGGATGATCAATGAACATGCAGGTTAACTAAGAAAATATGAAAAATACACAATCTGGACACTGAAGGTTTGCCTTTTCCTAGGCACACTCAGACATTCTCCCAGAATGAAGTAGTTCTCACTTTTTTGCATTCAAACTGTTCACATCTATGCACTTTAGAGTTGTCTGAAGACTTTTGTAAACTCAGCTATTACCTGGCTGTCACTCCCTGCCATGAGAGCAAAAACTTCTCTTGGGAA